GGATACGATAGTAAAACACGACGTACGAATAGGGTTAAGTGGTGGCACAGAGTTCCCCACGTCGTATGGATATGACAGTAAAACACGACGTACGGATAGGGTTAAGTAGTGGCACAGAGTTCCCCACATCGTATGGGTACGATAGTAAAACACGACGTACGGATAGGGTTAAGTAGTGGCACAGAGTTCCCCACATCGTATGGGTACGATAGTAAAACACGACGTACGGATAGGGTTAAGGGGTGGCACAGAGTTCCCCACGTCGTATGGATACGATAGTAAAACACAACGTACGGATTGGGTTAATAGCGGTGGAAGTCTTCGACATTCGTTAAGGTTTTGTCTGTGGTAGGGATGGATGGCGGAGCTCAAGTTTATGGGTCCTTTAGACTCAGGAAGGATGTGGTTCAAAAGTCAAATGGACATTGTCCAAAGGTGAAATGGACAGGGTTCTGAGATCAAATGGACATGGTTCAAAGGTCAAATGGACGTTGTTGACAAGTCAAATTGTCAGTTCAAAAGTGAAATGGACGTTGTGGACAAGTGAAATTGACAGTTCAAAAGTTAAATGGACGTCGTGGACAAGTCAAATAGACATAGTTCAAAATTAAATGGACGTTGTTGACAAGTCAAAATGACACAGTTCAAAAATTAAATGGACGTTGTTGACAAGTCAAAATGACACAGTTCAAAAATTAAATGGACGTTGTTGACAAGTCAAAATGACACAGTTCAAAAGTTAAATGGACGTTGTGGACAAGTCAAATTGACAGTTCAAAAGTTAAATGAACGTTGTTCAAAAGTCAGATAGACATAGTTCACAGGTGAAATGGAAATGGTTCAAAGGTCAAATGTTTGATACATGTCGTCGCTGTTTTTCTTGCAGTTTGAACCTGGAGCAGAAGGAACTGTGTCGTGCTAGGCTCAAGTTCTTACAGTACCTGGACAGGCTGAGGACTTATGAGGTGAGAGGGAGGGAGGGAGGGAGGGAGGGAGAGAGGGGAGAGAGAGAGATAGAGAGAGAGAGAGAGAGGGAGGGAGGGAGGGAGGGAGGGAGAGAGAGAGAGAGAGAGGGAGGGAGAGAGAGAGAGAGAGAGAGAGAGAGAAGGAACTGTGTCCTGGTAGGCTCAAGTTCTTACAGTACTTGGACAGGCTGAAGACTTATGAGGTGAGAGAGAGAGATAGAGAGAGAGAGAGAGAGAGGATATAGAGATAGAAAATAATGGGGAGGGGGGGAGAGAGAGAATCTTATCTTATCTTATTTTATCCCTTATTTAATGCTATTTTGTCTTGTGTTATCTTATCTTATCTCTTATGTAATGTTACCTTGTCTTATCTTGTCCTGTCTTGTTTATCTTTCTTATCTATCTTGTCTTATCTTATATTTTCTTATCTGATCTACCTTGTCTTGTCTTGTCTTGTCTTGTCTTATCTACCTTATCTTATCTGATCTTGTCTATCTTTTCTTTCCTTTCTTATCTTATCTTGTCTTATTTATCATATCTTATCTTTTCTTTCTTTTCTTATCTTATCTTGTCTTATCTTTTCTTTCTTTTCTTTTCTTATCTGGTCTTGTCTTATCTTATCTTTCTTTTCTTATCTTATCGTGTCTTATTTATCATATCTTATCTTTTCTTTCTTATCTTGCCTTGTTGTGTATTTTATCTTATCTTGTTTTGACGTGTCTGTCTTATCTGATCTCGTCTTGTCTTATCTTTTCTTATCTTTTCTTGTCTTATCCTATCTTATCATGACAATGTTCTCCGATGGTTCCAGTGCATACTAGGTGGCGAGGTGGCGGCTGCCGACAGATACAACGCCAGTTTTTACGCCGCCTTCAGGTCCCGGAGCATTTACGAAATTGTTGCCGAGTATGCTCAGGTTGGTACAGCGATCATGTGACTGATGGAAACCGCTCACAGCTTGTACTTGTATACCCCCCGGGGAGGTCCTACTGACTAAAGTGGCTTTACGCCATTCCCAAAGGGGGGACATTAACACGTTCTTGTGCGCAGTAGAAGAATTGTAAATGGGCTGATTTATCAATGTCATGCTCATAACTGTGCCTGAACTGCAATGGGGAACTTCTGCTTTTTCTTTCCTAATCCTTACTATCATCATTTTTTCCTCTACTTCTTTTGTATGTTTGTCACTCTCTTGTGATCTTGTGACTCGCTATTTCCAGGGTGCCTTGATAGTCGAAGCAGACTTTGTGCTGTTGAGGCTAGAGAGGTGAGCAGAGTAAGTCTGATTCCCCGTTTGACTTCTCTGTTGACATCCACCCCTTGGCGCTCATAGGACGTATGCAGTTGCGAGCGCTGTTAAAAACTCTACTAAAACTAAATAATACTCATATGGGACAGAGTGCTATATTATAATAATAATAATAATAATAATAATAATAATAATAATAGATAGCATTTGTATAGCGCATATCTCCACTCAACAGCAGGCTCTATGCGCTTTACACTATATTATTACCCCAGCAGACCATAGAACACTCCGAAACATTCTCAGCTTCCCGGGAAGCATATAAAATAATCAATGTATTATCTATTTCTATTATTATTATTATTATTAATTATTTCTATTATTATTATTATTATTATTATTATTATTTTTATTATTATTATTATTATTATTATTCTCCTCGAACGTATCAAAGTTGAAGAGTTGGTGGTTGGCGGGTGCTCTGGTGTGGTTTACTCTTTTTTTCCTGTCGCACATCTATCTTTCTTATCTCTCCTCCCTTTTTTTTTTTTTGAACTGTGTGTTACTCTCTAGTAACACCTCTAATCTTCAACACTTATATTATGACCAATTTGCATTGTAGGTGCTGTAAAAGTCTTATCAAGCGGGTGGTTGGAGGGTGCCATCTGACTCTGTTCTTTCCCTCAGTTGTTTCTGTCTATCTGTCTTACTTCCTTCCTGCCCATTTTGAACATTACTTATGTCGATGCCCTTCTCTGTACTCAAACCAAAGATAGTACATAACAAGATGGGCCACTCAGCCAAAGATAGTACATAACAAGATGGGCCACTCTGCCAAAGATGGTATATAACAAGATGGGCCACTCAGCCAAAGATGGTACATAACAAGATGGGCCACTCAGCCAAAGATAGTACATAACAAGATGGGCCACTCAGCCAAAGATAGTACATAACAAGATGGGCCACTCTGCCAAAGATGGTATATAACAAGATGGGCCACTCAGCCAAAGATGGTACATAACAAGATGGGCCACTCAGCCAAAGATAGTACATAACAAGATGGGCCACTCAGCCAAAGATAGTACATAACAAGATGGGCCACTCTGCCAAAGATGGTACATAACAAGATGGGCCACTCAGCCAAAGATAGTAAATAACAAGATGGGCCACTCAGCCAAAGATGGTACATAACAAGATGGGCCACTCAGCCAAAGATAGTAAATAACAAGATGGGCCACTCAGCCAAAGATGGTACATAACAAGATGGGCCACTCAGCCAAAGATAGTAAATAACAAGATGGGCCACTCAGCCAAAGATAGTAAATAACAAGATGGGCCACTCAGCCAAAAAAGTGTCCGCAGGAAGCATGCTCTTTGCTTCAGATGGCGCTGCAGTCTGTTTTGAAGCTCTCTTTCGTTTTTCCAGAAGAAGAATAGGAATAGCACCTCCTTGCGTGCGCAGATCGACTGCGGTTCATCAGCAGTTCGGGTTCGTTCAGTGCGGAGTTTTAGGTTTTTTATATTTTAATGACCTCTCGCCTTTCATTCTAAAGTCAAATTAAACGAAGAAAACAATCACCTTTTCCTCCGGAAGAGGCTTTATGTCAGCGTAACCATTTTAAAAAAGCGTTCTTCCGAAATTCATTAAAAAACTTGCTAGTTTCACTTTGATTTTTAAAACTCAAGTAGGATAACTCTGTTCGCTAAAGGTGCGCTTTTGTGAAGAGGGCGCCACCGAATTTTGAGGACACTTTTTTAATTGGCTCAAAGAGAGAAGTGGCCCCTCTTGTTATGTAGACTCTTTGCTCAAACCCAAAAACTCTTACTAAAGCTAAAATAAACCAAATATGTTGTGTGCTTTCTGAAACGTGCTGTTTTTTGTGTGTTCTGACACATGCTGTGTTGTGTGTTCTGGAACGTGTAGTATTGTGCGTGTTCTGACACGTGCTGTGTTGTGTGTGTTATGTGTTTTGACAAGTGCTGTGTTACTTGTGTGTGTTGTGTGTTCTGACTCGCGCTGTGTTGTGTTTGTTGTGCGTGTTCTGACACATGCTGTGTTGTGTGTGTTCTGACACGTGCTGTGTTGTGCGTGTTCTGATATGTATTGTGTGTGTTCTGACACGCGCTGTGTTGTTTGTTGTGCGTGTTCTGACACGTGCTGTGTTGTGTGTGTTCTGATACATACTGTGTTGGGCCTGTTCTGACACTTGCTGTGTTGTGTGTGTTCTGACACGTGCTGTGTTGTGTGTGTTCTGACACGTGCTGTGTTGCGTGTGTTCTGACACGTGCTGTGTTGTGTGTGTTCTGACACGTGTTGTGTTGTGTGTGTTGTGTGTTAGTTCTGACACGCGCTGTGTTGTGTGTGTTATGTGTTCTGACATGTGCTGTGTTGTGTGTGTTCTGACACGTGCTGTGTTGTGTGTGTTGTGTGTTAGTTCTGACACGTGCTGTGTTGTGTATTCTGACGCACGCTGTGTTGTGTGTGTTGTATTGTGTGTATTCTGACACGCGCTGTGTTGTGCGTGTTGTATTGTGTGTGTTTTGACAAGCGTTGTGTTGTGTGTGTTGTATTTTGTGTGTTCTGACACGCGTTGTGTTGTGTGTTATGTGTGTTCTGACATGCAGTGTGTTGTGTGTGTGTCCACGTGCTGTATTGTGTGTGTTCTGACACGTGCTGTGTTGTGTGTGTTCTGACATGCGGTGTGTTGTGTGTTGGTCCACATGCTGTATTGTGTGTGTTCTGACATGTGCTGTGTTGTGTGTGTTCTGACATGCGGTGTGTTGTGTGTGGGTCCATGTGCTGTATTGTGTGTGTTCTGACACGTGCTGTGTTGTGTGTGTTCTGACACGCGGTGTGTTGTGTGTGTGTCCACAGGACAACGACTGGCGGGCAGTGGAGACCTTGATGACCTTTCACAGCGCGGACCTGGCCCCTCACAGGTTTCTGCTCTGCTCTCTCTCTGACTCTCTCTCTCTGACTCTCTCTCTCTGACTCTCTCTTTCTGACTCTCTCTCTCTGTCTCTCTCTCTCTGACTCTCTCTCTCTGACTCTCTCTCTCTGACTCTCTCTTTCTGACTCTCTCTCTCTGTCTCTCTCTCTCTCCGACTCTCTCTCTCTGACTCTCTCTCTCTCTCTGACTCTCTCTCTCTCTTTC